GCGCGCCCGCCCCCCCACCGGGGGGCCGCCCCCTTCCTCGCTGACAGAGCTGCATCGTCTGGCGGGATGGGGGGCGATGCGGGAGCAGATGGTCCCCGGGGCCGCATCAAGAGCCTGGGGCTAGTGTTCGAAGATGAGAGCAAGGGTTGCTACTCCAGCGGCGAGACAGTGGCTGGGCATGTGCTGCTGGAGGCTGCAGAGCCAGTGGCCCTGTGCGGGTTGCGTCTAGAGGCCCAGGGCCGTGCCACCTCTGCCTGGGGCTCGAGTACTGGCGCCCGGGTCTGCATTGGTGGCACCGCTCCAGCAGCTTCCTCGGAGGTGGAATACTTGAACCTGAGCTTGAACCTACTGGAGGCCCCAGCTGGTGAGCATGGAGATCTCCAAGGAGGGGGAGGGAGGGGGCACGCCTCTGGATAGTGGGTGGCACTGGGGGAAGCTTCTGGAAGGGCAATCATCTGTACTGTCTCAGGTGAAGGGCAGGAGGCCAAGTCTGTGCCCCTAACCTGGCTTCTAGGAAAAGTCAAGACCCTTCTTGGGTGGTGTGTCTTTGCACCTGGCTTCCTGGGATCTTCTAGTAACCTAGAAGGGAGTGAGTCATTTGCTGTGGGAACCAGCGATTCATTGACTGTCTGGGTTCTAGGGTCTTTCCTGACCTGGAGGCATGGACAGTGGAACCAGAGCCTGTGAGGTTCCATTATGTGGTGCCCAGAGTTTGATGGACCTCCACTCTTTCCTATCCCGGCCCTAAACACTCCTCTTCTGTTCATGATGATTTGCAAAAAAAAAAAAAAAAAAAAAAAAAAAAAAAAAAAAAAAAAATAGAACTCGATTTGGGAAGAGAGAAGTGGTAGTTGGGTAGTTCAAGGGACATGTTCCCTCTCTGGGGGAATCTGAATCTTACTAAGAGCTGCCCCTTCCTGTACCTCCTCTTCCTCTTGCCTCCCCCTTTCGGAAAAGCCTTTGGAGACAATGCCATCTGGGGATTTCTGAATTACACCATCCTGTTCACTCAGAGTGTTCCAGGAGTGCCCATGCATATGTATGTTGGGCTAATGCTAGGGACATAAACTGTTGCTGTTCATCATGAAAATGCTAGTAACAATGAGTCAGTCTTCTCTCAGTGGAAACTACTGTAAACCTTTACTTGTGCCTCATCAGCCTGTACCTATCAAATGCGAGCTTACTTCTTACTGTATCCTATCCTTCTGCGTAGAAATACAATATCCACAGTTAAATCCTCAAAAATATACCTAACAGGAGCTGCCTTTTGGATGAAGGGGTGTGGCCAGGGACAGCTCTTACCTGCATTCTTCCTCCTTGTGGATTCCAGGAGTCTTTTTCTCCCAGTGATAATAGCCAACAAGAATATTAAAGATGGCTGACGGGCGGGAAGGCCATGGAGGAGAGAAGTAAACAGGTTTCTGTCCAGGTTTCAGATTCTGAGCCCATAACTATTGAGGAAATGGAGACAAAATTAGAAGCATTGAACCTAGGATGAGAAATGAACATTGCTTTGGTAAAATTTGGGCTAGCAGTTAGGTTTTCGTTTTTTTGTTTTTTTGTTTTTTTGTTTTTTTCACGTGTAAGATATTGTAGGTTTGTTCTAAGGAAATGGAATTTCTAATTCTAGATGGGATGGTTCCAGTTCTCTTAGAATATAATAACAATGGTTATAGTTTACTTACAGTCACTGCCTCTTTTTGTTGGGGGAAGGGAACATCATCCCACCTACCTACCATTTGGAAGAACAGAGCAACTTCACATATAGACTCTCAAGGTCATTAACTCCAAAAACTAGGTATCATTCAATGGCCTGGGGAGATTTTTTTAAATGATGACTCCAAGGAAATATAATGTTTGGATCTATTTTTTTAAAATCTTCCCAGAGTGTTCTTTCAAATTATTATTCTTACTGAACCACTTACTGTTAGCATGACTGAACTGCTTCGTGTCTTTAAGAACGTATTGTTATAAAGACCCAGAGACCAAAGCAGAGGGTTGGCTTCAGTTCATCGGCACCCACTAGAGTGTGAATAAAGCAGCTCCCCTATGGCATTGAAGTCCTAGGAGGACAAGGTGGAAGGAATGAGCCATAAAACAGAAGCAGAAATGGTCCATATTGTCCATCTCATGAATGTTTTTAACTAAACAACAACACCAAAAAGAGAAGGAAACACATTTTTCAAGATATTGCTGTGTTTATCAGTTTCCTCAAGTTGATTTTCTCATGTGAAGTTCTGTAATTCCTGTGTTGACTTGTTTCCTGAGGGGCCCTTCATCTCTCTTACCACTTTGCAATATATGCTGGGCAGCTCTGTTCTCTACATGCCTGTCCTGCTTCCTCATGCTGTCCCCTTCACTTAAACCTAGCCACTCATCTGTAGTCTGGTCCTCAGACTTCAGGCCCATCGTTATTCATGTGAGAAGTTGCTGGATTTTAGCTCTCTGTTGTCTTGAGTACACATATCTGATCTACCTTTCCCCATCTGGTTTTCTGAGGACTAAAGAGATGGGTCCTTCTATCACCTGAGCCTAAGTCCAGTAAATGTTGGATTTATATGAAACCACATTTCTAAATATGTGCACATACTTACAAAACCTACCACGTGTACTGTGTACACATACCATGTGTAGCCTAGCAATCACAAATCAGACCCCATCTGAGCTCCATTCTCTTGAGACCCCCAGAGAAGATGAGACACAGTGTCCCTTGATTCCAGACCTATAGCTCTTCTGGTACCCTCCTGAGGCTTGTGTGGCCACTCCTGCACATTAGGAGCCTCTGGGACTCACACTGAATCACACTACTTAATCTGACCCTGTGTCCTGACTAGTCATTGTTCCCCTTGCCTCCAGGTCACCTACCTATGATGTCTTTCTATGAAAAGTGGACCCATGTTCCTTGTTTCTCCTTAATATAGTACATACTGAAAACTAGAGATAGATTTAGAAGACTCCTTGGGTCAGTAAGTATTCTTAGTTTCTAAAAGTGCAGGATTGAAATACTGAGTTGTTTAGTAATTAAGTAAACCAAAGAAACCCGCCTTAATAAAGGTTTTTGTCCTCATGGAGCAGAAATAGCAAGTCAGGTAACAAATCTAATTCCCCACCAAGTTGTCTGCCGTCTTTTCTCATCTTACTTCCTCTACCCACAATGTAGCCTCAAGTATGAGCTCGAAGGGAAAGTCTGTCATGGGCCATAGGGAGCTATTGACCAGACTGTAAGCCACGGGATCCACTTTGGATCCATATTAAACAGGCTGACTGTGGACATTCATCATAGGTTCTGGGGGTGCCTCTAGTCTTACACCATCCATCCCTGTAATTTGGCCTTTGCTCAGTAACAAGCCTGTGCATGAAGTTGAATGATGCTAACAATAACAGGGGAAGGGACCATGCTGTGCTTGGAAAATCCTGCTTTCACCACCCAGAAGCCCTGTCAATCTTGGTAGAGCTAAATGATAAAGAGCCGACTCTTGCTACTTTGGCTGTCTTCTGTGTTACTATTACTAATGCTGTTCCCAAGTTTTCTATCTCAGTCTAATAAATACATAGTATGGTTATTGTAGTATAGCCAAAGAAATGTAGCTTGTCAGTTAGTTTTAGGTCCAGTTTAATGTTGGTGTCTCATGTTAGTATAACTAGAGTAACATCCGTGTGTGTGTATGTGTGTGTGTGTGTGTGTGTGTGGATGGATAGATAGATAGATAGATAGATAGATAGACAGACAGACAGACAGACAGACAGACAGACAGATAGATAGATAGATAGATAGATGTGTACTACATGCATGTTTATGCAAACATATTGTATACGTATATTGGAACTCTTGGCCCTAGGTATTAACACCTTATGGTAATTGCATAATTGATCATTTTGTGAATAGAAGGTGTGTGTGTGTGTTTCTTGTTAAAAGACAAGTTCAAATGTAGTCCTCTCAATGTGTTTAATGAACTTGTAAATTATGTTGACCTTCATTAAAATACAATATGGTCTCTTTCAGGTGAAGGCATCACTTTATTACAACCTGGAAAACACGAATTTCCTTTTCGCTTTCGACTTCCATCTGAGTGAGTGGAACACTAAGTGTTCTGTTTCCTCCCCTTGCCTTGTGTCCATCATTTTAGCACCACCCCGGTGTTCCCAACACTGAAGTGCATGTGCCAATCCTGTGTAACCCTCCCTGTACTTCCCTGCTGCCTCTTGTTTTTTTTCAACCTTAACCCTCATTTTCAAGCATGCTTTTCCTAACACTGTTTAGCTGAAAATAAGCTCATAAACCAATATCTTTGGTTTATTTCAGACCATTGGCGACATCATTTACTGGGAAGTATGGCAGTATTCAGTACTGTGTGAGGGCTGTTTTGGAACGACCCCAAGTACCAGATCAGAGTGTAAGGAGAGAGCTCCAGGTTGTCAGTCACGTGGATGTCAACACACCACCCTTATTGGTGAGTGCTTCCTTGCTCTGTCCCTCCTTCCTTTCAGTAGTGATGTCTGTATTTTGTCAGGATAGTGGTGATATGCACTGTCCCTGTCTGCTGGTTCAGAAAACACAATGTAACACATAGGCGTTCACTATTAAGATATGATTCTAGGTTGGGCAAATTACAAATTGTGTGTGTTAATACTATTGATTATGTCCCTGCTGTTCAGGGCTGCTTTTGCCAAAAAGTTACACAGGCTTGAAATGCATTAATAAGCCTTAATAACAATAATGCACAGCAGAGAGGAGTTACTTTGACCAGCACGGCCACATTCGCAGGACTGTGGTATTCTAAACTCTCCAATAATAGCAGGTTGAGGAACAGTAATTACGAAAGAGTATTAATCACACTCAGCCTATTATTGAAGCCCAGGCCATTATGCTATGTATCCTTCCATTTTGCATGTCATTTTCTAGCATTAAGTAAGTGTGTGCAGCTGCCACCACGAGCCTTTCACTTATCATTTCCTTATGACAGATTTGGCCACATGAAGGCATTGAACTTCTAATAATCATAGAAATACTGTAGGCTGGTAAGAAGGGGGATCGGGCTATAAGGAACAACAGAATAGGCAAGATGGGGACTAATGAGCTATGTTCTTTTATCTGCACCCATATTATCAAAATAGTATAAAATTATACCTTAGACTTTCATGAAAGCTGATAGGTCCAAATGGGTCTTCATTTAAATATGAATGAATGGTATTATATTTTTTTTACCTCATAGATAATACCGAGATAATTTAAACTTCCCATTTTGACACTGATGTGGCAAAGATGTGTTTCTAGTATTGGATTTTTTTTCTAGCTAATATTTTTAAAGACAAGGGAAAAGCCAGCACCTAAAAGTTTAAAGTTCTTATTTTCACAAGAAGTTGAATAAATACTCCCCCTGGAGACAATAGATGATAGGCATACATCATGCTTGTGTGGCTTAGCCAGAACCACACTGCCCTGGTGCTCAGGCCCACTTAAACAACTCCTTAAGTCCCATTTGGAAAAGTGATGGCATTAGTAACATATATTCTACATAGAATTTTAAAACTATTTCTAAAATTGCCATGGTTTTGTGGGAAATTACTTATTGAAATAGGTTTGTTTTTGTCAAAAACAGACCCTTGACCTTTTTTTACCATTAGGTTCTAAAGTAGATGTAAAAGATGACCAGCAACAGTATTTTACAGAAAGCTTTTGTTTTTACAGCTTGTAAACAGAGCACTTTAGCCTCAGCAGAGTGTTTTTCTTACTTTGAAGAATAGAACCCTATAGTGGGACATAGTGTGTCTCATCACATTTGGAGATCTGCTAACACAGGGTATGTGGACGCACCCTTAACCTAGTCCAGGAACACCTGAAAGTTCTGTCTGATACATGGTGTATGCCAAGCAGTGTCATGTTCTGATTGTTAATTTCTGTATTGTTCCTTCTTTCTCCTGAGCTTTACATTGTCTTAAAACATAATTCTGTCACACAAGTAAGATGGCTTAGTGGGTAAGAGTGTTGCTGTGAAAGCAAGGAAACCTGAGTTACGATTCCCAGCACCCAGACAGAAACTGGGAGTGGCCTCACATGACTATAAGCCCCGAATTTGGGGATAGAGGTGGGTGAATCCCAGGGGTTCACTGGCAGGCTAGCCAGCCTAGATTAAAAGGCAAGCTTCGGATTCCCTGAGAGATGATGTCTTAAACAAAGAAGTAAGTGGAGAGTGATAGACAGAGGCTCTGGACATTTTCTCTTGCCTTCTCCATATCCTGGTGTGGAGGTGCACACACACACACACCCACGCTCCTGCATATGCTCCGCCATACTTACCACACACACAATGATAGTTCTGTAACATTTAAAGTATGAATGTGACCCTTGATTGCTTTCCTAAAGGATGTTGTGTCATTTCCTAGAAACACAATAACTTCGGGATAAAATAGAATGATGTCACACTAGTTTGAGTCTAAGAATTCACCCTACTTTTCCTGAGAGGGTTTCAGTACTTGGTGTCACAAGAGAATAAGAAAAATTGATGTTTCTTTATGATTATTCTCTAGAGGACTGTAAGTTCTCTTGAGCGGTTTAACTAAAGTCCTGTTTGCAACTTTCAAGACTCCTATGCTGAAAACGCAGGAAAAAATGGTTGGCTGCTGGCTTTTCACATCTGGTCCCGTGTCACTGAGTGTCAAAATCGAAAGAAAGGGCTACTGCAACGGTAAGTAGCATGCTTAAAGAAGTCCAAGAGGAAGACTCTCTGATTTTACTAGACGATTTCAGTGATGTAAAGCACTGAGTTTTATAACCTATAAAATACTTTGTATTTTGCGATATAATTAGCATTTATATATTTTAAGGGCATGCATAATAGGCTTTAATAAAACTCCCTTTTTTTCTAACTCCAATCTTGTTGCTTTAGTAACAAAATGAAACAGGAGAGTGGGGAAATGCTGGCACCTTACCTTAATGCTGCACAAGAAGATACAGAGCTCTTGCAGAATTAGGGGATAGACGTGTAATGTTTTGAACTAACTTGTCTGCCCCATCCTTGTTTGTGCCTTACCATTATGAATTCCTGAGATGCCAAGGCTCTGCTTGCTGTTGGGCAGGTTTTCATTCCATGGGCTCTACTGGGGTTATTAGTAAGCTTTATACTTAGCCTCCTATTGCATCATTTCTTTATATGCCTTATCTTAATTTATGCATATCGCTTATTTACTTATCTTGAGGCTTGTTACTGTTGTCCTTTTACAGTGGAAAAGTGAATAGTGCCATTGGTATGAAATGTTGCCTTCTGTAGTGAGTGACCATTCCTCTCCCTACCATTCCTCACAGGAGCTTCCGTTCAGGGCTTCAGCTGCGTTGGGCTGCTGGAGTGTTAACTGATGTCTTGAGAGTGTTCTGAAATGTCCCTGGATCCATCGTGTTTCCCTTCTCTTTTCAGGAGAAGCTATTCCCATCTATGCAGAAATAGAGAATTGTTCATCTCGCCTGGTTGTCCCTAAGGCGGCCATATACCAAACCCAGACATATTTGGCTAGTGGAAAGACGAAGACAGTCCGGCACATGGTTGCCAATGTTCGAGGAAACCACATTGGTTCTGGAAGTACAGACACATGGAACGGGAAAATGTTAAAAATCCCACCTGTTACTCCATCCATCCTGGATTGCTGCATTATCAGAGTGGACTATTCCTTAGCTGTAAGCAAAGCTTCTAGAATAATTAAAAATACATAAAACAGCTGGGTGTTGGTGGCGCACGCCTTTAATCCCAGCACTTGGGAGGCAGAGGCAGGCAGATCTCTGTGAGCTAGCGGCCAGCCTGGTCTCCAGAGTGAGTGCCAGGATAGGCTCCAAAGCTACACAGAGAAACCCTGTCTCGAAGAAACAACAACAACAACAAAAATACATAAAACAGAGCAGTAATCCACACATTACAAATATTATCTCTAATTATTGCTTTAACACTTGGGAAGATGTTAACGTTACTACCATTTGTGGGTATATGAAGATGGGCCTTCACTGTTACTAAAAATCTTCTCTACCTAGGGAAATTTAACGAAATAAACTTAAAGGAATTGAGGTGATGTGAGAAGTGTTTGTTACACTGAAGCATAGGTTCAATTTCCAGGATGGTTACAAGCTCTGTTACCTTTACAGTAAAACACGTGCCACAGTTTCCTGTCACAAGGTTGTCCTGTAGTTAGTGTTTATTCATCTTATTTGTTCGTCATTTTGTCTAGTCAGGACGGTTTACGTTTGTCATGCAATGGCTTGGTGGAAGACAAAGGCATTTGTTTCTATGTAAAGGAAGCTGAATCAGCTTAGTTCCCATGAGATTTACCCCAAATCTGTGCTGTTCTCTCCCTCACACATGGTTTTCTTTTGTACATATTAGGTATACATTCACATTCCTGGTGCTAAAAAACTGATGCTGGAGCTGCCTCTAGTTATTGGTACGATTCCATACAGTGGCTTTGGCAGAAGAAACAGCAGTGTCGCAAGCCAGTTCAGTATGGACATGAGCTGGTTGGCACTAGCCCTGCCGGAGCAGCCTGAAGGTAAAGCATTTATGTCTTTTACAGTGATGTTTTAGATACAGACTAGCTGTAAACAGAACATGACAGGAGCAAGTGTCACATGTCAGCTCTCCCCACCACATTAGGGTGTACATGTTCTTTTGGCAGTGACCAAATGCCTGGCAAGCAGACACCAAAAGGCAAAAGCCTTCATTTGACTTAGATTTTGAGGGTACAGCATAGATGGCAGTGAGAGAGTTTTAGCTGTGGTTGCACAGCATAGATGGCAGTGAGAGAGTTTTAGCTGTGGTTGCACAGCATAGATGGCAGTGAGAGAGTTTTAGCTGTGGTTGCAGGAGTATGAGGCAGCTGGCCACAGTGCATCCACAATCTGGAAGCAGAGAGAGATGTGTGCTGGTTCTCAGTGTACCCCACCTCTCTTAACTGAGTCTGAGAAACCCTGGCCTATGGGACAAAACTGCTCACATCAAAGTGGTTCTTCCTTCTTCAGTCTAGTCTCTGGGAACTCCCTCATAGACATGGCCAGTGTTCTATCTCCTAGGTGATTCTAAGTCCAGTCCACTACTCTTGTTTTATACTACTAGAATTATATAACATCACTGGAAGAGGAACCTTGAATGTTTACTTTAGCCATGACACAAAGCCAGTGACAAACCCAGGAATAAAGTGTACATCTCCTGAGGCTAATTTATAATATTAAGGCAGTGAGAAATGTTCCAATAGACAAATAGACTGTTACAGATTTTCTATAGCCCTGGCCCAGGATGATGTGGTAGACTTTGGGGAGCCCCTTTTGGGGAGTGGAGGGGGGATGGCTAGGGGCAGGTGGGATGTTGGGGGGGAGGGGAGGGAGAGGGAGAAGGGATTGACATCTGAAGCAAGCTTGTTCCTAATTTGAACTAATAAAATAAAATAAAGTAAAAGAGATGTTTATTTGCCTTAGATTGTGCCATGTAAATCACAAAGAATGTCGTTGAAAATAAAATGTAATTGATTTTAAGTAACTGTGTATTAGGGGAACCAAAACTTTTCTCATGATGGCCACAGAATCTTCAGTTTGGCTCCTTCCCTTTTGTTAGAGTTCAGAAGACACAAATGAATTTTGGCAGTTTTGCACAGATTTCTGACCTCAAACTCCATTTCTATTTCAGCACCACCAAATTACGCAGATGTGGTATCCGAGGAAGAATTCTCCCGACACACTCCTCCATACCCACAGCCCCCTGACTGTGAGGGAGAAGCCTGCTACTCCATGTTTGCCTGCATACAAGAATTCCGGTTTCAGCCTCCACCTCTTTATTCAGAGGTAAGGAAAATTAGACTCATTATGCCATCTACAGACAATCACTTGCTCCCCTCCATTCATTAATGTGCCGTTGCTGACTCATAATTGGTTGCAAATACGCATAAACTTGTTCTTACAACTTGAAAAATTATCACAGCCACTTAGCACATTTTCTGCTATTTACCTTGTGATCTATGGCCTGCATATGCAGTATCGTGGGTTGCCTTGAAAATGTTTTATTTGGCCATAGAAGATGAGAACTCAGCAGCCAGTGGAGGACTTAATAACAGATGCTAAGCAACTTAAGCTTACAGCTATCAAGTAATTAGAAGCAGGTAGGAGGACCAAGGTGCTTCAGCCATTACCTGGCTCTTCTGTCTTGTAGGTTGATCCACATCCTGGTGATGCCGAAGAGGCCCAGCCTGTTTCCTTCATGCTTTGAAGAGATTCCAGAATTCACTGTGTTGCTACCAACTTAGACTATTGGTTCTTTCGTCTGCCTTATTGGAGGAGAAAATTACCTTAAGACCATTGATGCACTCCAAGTGTGAAGACAGAGATGAAAGAATAGAACTCTTTAGTGGGCCAGTGGGATGGTTACACAAGTTTATAGGGTGGGGTCAGTTGTCCCCTTTAAAAGTGGATGGAAATATGAGCTGAAAAACCGGAAGTCCTGGTGATGGGAGAGGAGGTGAAGGAATGAACGCCTGCAATGTCGGAGAGAGGAGTCCTAAGGAACTGGAATGATACTGGAGTGCACTCTGACCAGGGTTCACACAGTTATGAACTTATAGGCTTGGTAGGAAGACCTGATTTTGGGGAAACAAGACAGCTTTGATGTGACTGTGAATGAGGAAATGGTCTACTTTAATGGAATTGAGGTCCCCAGGTTTCAGGGTCTTCATGATTTCTTACCCTGTTACCACAGCAAGGTTCAAGGTCTTGAAAGTCTCCTTTCTGGAGCCCATGGTCGTGTGAGATCCTGATGGAAGTGACAGTGTTTCCACTCTTTCCTGAGGAGGTTGAGATGTATGTTGAAGGGGTTTCAGGAAGAGATTCCTGAAAAGCTTGCCACATCAAAAGGAAAGTGGCTCTCGAGTGAAGTGTGCTGAGAAAGGCTGTAATCCTACCACTTTCAGAACTTGTGCAGGATGTATGTTTTATGTTCCTCATCCCTTATTTACCTAGGGATTACTAGAAGGAGACGGGGTAGGCATGACATCTTTAAGATACCTGATACCTACACAAAACAGAGTGTTTTTCTTATCCTACCTCTGGTAGCTTTGTCAGGCCTGCTCTCAGAACTCCAGGCCTGACTGACCTTTGGGGTTTGTGCTGTGTGCAATTAGCAGGCTCCTTTCAACCTGTCACTTGATCTGAAACTAGGCCAAGGGAAAATTCCATGAGCTTAGCATTAAGTAGAAATAAAATTACACCTAAGATCTTAAAAGAACTCCCAACCCAAAAGAGGATAGGAAGGTGCCTGAACTCTTCCTGTGATGAGGCTTCAATGAATGGATGGCAGTTGCCACGTTGTTCATTCTTATTCCAGTCATTAGTAATTCCATTTAAACTGTGATTTTTTTATTGTTTTGGTGCAATATTTTGTTGTCATTGAGCCTCAGGAAAATTCAGACCTACAGGGCTGTATTGCTGCTGGCAGGGTCAGCCATGTCCTTCCCAGCCTCCTCCCTTCCTGTTCATGGTCCCACACTCAATTGTTTTGCCTCCAATCTGTCTGGCCCAGGAGCTGAGAACATTGCTGACACCGGGTGGGAGGGAGGTTCTCACAGTGGAGATCTGGACCAGCCAGAGTAAGGGTTTGGTCTAGAAACCCTGGTGCTTTCCAGGCAGAAAGTTGTGCTGTGTCAATCAGGATGATGGATTTTATCTCCAGTCACCAAGTTCACTTAAAGACATTCGTCTAAGGTTAAATTTTATACTCAAAATTCAGTGGGTCATTTGTTCAGGGATTTTTGTACCAATGTTATGTAAATGTCTACTTGTCCCCTCTGAACATCTCTCTCTTTTGTGGTTGTGTTAGTGTCAAACACATGTATTTCATTGTAAGCCACTGTCTAAAATGCCAAATGGTGTTGCCAGTAATTGTGTTGTGGGAATTCCCACAACCCTTATTTCTTACGTTGGTTGTTAGAGATTTCTTTTTTCTTTTTGTTGTGTGTCTGTGAAGAGTTCTGGGTGTTCAAATATTATCTAAACTGTTTTTTGATTTTGTATTTTTTTTGTTGTTGTTATTACTGTAGAAAAGATGATTAGCTGTCTTTTGGCTTCCAGGCTGTAGTTTACATGCTTTGTCAAGACATGGTCCATCTCCATGAAACCAAAACAAAGGGAAAGAAAGTGACAGTGTGGACAGAGAGAAATGGAACAGGTTGGCTCCCTGTAGAAAAGCTGTTGCAGTCAGTTTCCATAGAGAAATCATGAAGTCCCCTGCAAAAACTGAAGCAAAGCTAACAGTGGCATTCAAGAGAATAGCTCAGAGATGCAACTCTATATGGGTCTGTTTGACCCAAAGCTTATAGTCTGGATAACTTGAATGTAGAAAACTATGTCAGAGACCCTGCGAATGAAGATCAGACTTTAGCTGCTAATACTTGCCTGTTTAGTCCCCTCTTGCGCTCATTTAGTTTTGGAAAAATGAAAAGTGCCCTTAAGATTTTCTTTTTGATGCCTAAAGTTTGAGATTAAAAGTGTGTATCTTTTGGTGCACACAGATCTTTCCTTCCCTGGGCAGAATTTTACTTTCTGTGTTTTTGTTTTGCACAATAAGAAACTCAGTAGGCAAGGGTTATGTTTTTGATAAGTTCACTAGCTTTTTAAAATTTTTATTAAAAATGTAATAACTTAACCAAGGGGAAAATAAAAATTGTATTTTGTACTCTTGTTTGAACCCCATGGGTTCCTTTTTTTAATAAAATGGTTATACCTAAAGGTCTGGGTGGCTAGTTTTGTTACTCTGTTTACTTCCAAGAGTTAAATCTTAGAAAACCAATACCCACACAGAGAATCCTGTTCTCAAGGTCATTTGTTTATGCATGAGCTCAAAAGCACAGCCCAACCTGGAGGCTTCTGGGCCTGCTGCACACAGATTTCCAAAGGAACTCAGGTACTAGTAATCCAAGAAGAAAAGTCACAGACTAAGAAAGTGTAAACTACATGAGTCAAGGAAAGAGTATATCTTCCTTATTCCAAATGACAGCAGGTACAATTCTCAATGTTTGCTTGGCTCAAATCTCAGTGAGTTAGCAGGTCTGTGAACTGTCATGGACAACATTGACCTAGCAAACATCTCCTTTGATTTTAATACATGTGCGTATAATTATGATGTTACCAAGAATATGTAATGGCCCTTCATCTCAAGAAATCTGCTGAGGCCTCAGTCTGAAAATGTTAACTTTTGCCAAGCAGTAGTACGTAGCCTGGTTTGTTTGTATTCACTTGGTTTTAGCCTGTTAGATGGCCTTTCATCAGCATCTTTGCATCCACATACGTATTTCTCACAAATTAAAATATCCATCATGTATAATAAGGAAAAGCTTCCAAGATTACCACTAAGGTTTCTGTAGTTTATATTGGGGAAGTGGTGGCTTGTAAAGTTTAGAACTAGGCCAGATGCTACTGGCAAAGTAGGACGCAGCTCTCCAGTTACCAATTTGTTTACCAAAACCTAGAGAGGGCAACATTAGAGATTGGCCAACATTGTCTGTGAGGTCTCTGCTTACTCTGAAATCTCCTGAGTCTACACCTTTAAAGAAGCAATGAAGACAGCCATTGCTTCATTTGTACAACTTGAGGGTTGCAGACCTTCATACTAGGCTTGCAGTAAATTAAGTCTTTGGTATTTATTTCCAAAATCCCCACCTCCAGAAAGGCCCACAATCTACCTAAATCGCTTGCTAAGTATGTTTAATTAGTAGTTGGGATTCCTTATGCAACAGAAGATCCAAGACTTTCATATTTCAAGATAATTACAGCCTCACTGCATAAACAGTACACCAAAATCCTCTAGGCCCACCTTCAGGCTCCCCCAGTGCCACCATCTTACACAACAAGGACAGTAACCAAAACACAACACTGATACATAAAAGCCAGCTTTTGCATACACTCACTTTTTTCTGCTTGTGATTTTGTGTGTAGCTCTTTGACATGTTACCACATGTTGGGATTTATGTAATCACTGCTGTAATCAACATTCAGAAATGCTCCAACATCACAGAGAATCTCCTGGGCTGGCTCTTTAGTCACACCTCCCTTGTTCTCTAGATGAACAAGTGTTGTATCAGAGATAAGTCAGTGATTACAGACCCGAAGAAACTACACTAGGCTGTTTATTTTTTTATCAAGTTCCAAATCTGGTATATTTCAGTCTAAGATGTGCAGTAAAGATTCTCCACTTGCCTTGTGTGTTTGCATATTAAGCTCTGTGGGTTTCCTTCTGGTCTTCTTTTCAACTCTCATTGGTCTCAGTCCCAATTCTTATTATCTATTGAGACAGAGCATACAACACACAAAAAATTAACTACAAATATGCTTTTTCATAATATTGTGAAACAAAAGATTACTTGTTAAGACTTAAGTTTTCTGGCCAGGAAAACTTGTATTAAATATTAGCCATTTATGCCAACCTAAAGATATTCCTTTAAAATTAGAATGAGTTGAGCCTTTTAGTTATGAAAAAAGTAAAATACGTAAGTCTCAATGGCAGGAAAAGATCTACTTCAGGCAGTATCTCCCATCATGGATAAGAAAAACAATGATGTCTCCCTGCACTTGGAACAGTCTCAACCATTGATTTGAGTGCATACCATACCACATACATGCATGTACACACAGACATCTGGTGATACATATGTACATAGATCAATACATATGGACACAAGCAGACATCATTTTTTCCTGGTTCTTTCATTTGTACTCATTACCTCCAGTCCTTGGTCCATTTTGGGTAGATTATAGGCTGGTTACAGAGAGAAGAATCCCTTTCCAAGAATTTACCGGAAGGGAAGTCATTTCCCACAAGCCTTTTCCATCTCCAGACAGGAAAAAGTCTGGTGCAGAGGTTTTGGGGAATTATGGAATGGGTGAACTGAGAGCAGGCAGCATACACCAAGAGTTTGTCTTCTTCTTTGAAAATGTAGAATATGATATAATGATCATGTCTCTACACTGTCTTATATCATATCTTTATTTAGTGAATAAAGGACAGAAAATGCTCCATATCAAAACAATGATGATTGCATCAACTCAATGTAGCATTTGTTCTCCATAGATGAAGACTCATATTATATAGCATGAAGATTTCTTTGCATTGTGTTTTTCCACATCAGGTGCCACAATACATCTATTTGTTCATATGTTGACTACAAATGCATGAGCACTATTGGTTCTGGCTATCACTATAAATATCTAGACCTGCCTCAA